CTTTAAGGAATGTCAGTGTTATGTAATGTGATAGTCTTGAACTTTAAGGAACATCAGTGTTATGTAATGTGATAGTCTTGAACTTTAAGGAACATCAGTGTTATGTGATGTGATAGTCTTGAACTTTAAGGAACATCAGTGTTATGTGATGTGATAGTCTTGAACTTTAAGGAACATCAGTGTTACGTGATATGATAGTCTTGAACTTTAAGGAATGTCAGTGTAATGTGATAGTCTTGAACTTTAAGGAACGTCAGTGTTATGTAATGTGATAGTCTTGAACTGTAAGGAACATCAGTGTTATGTAATGTGATAGTCTTGAACTGTAAGGAACATCAGTGTTATGTAATGTGATAGTCTTGAACTTTAAGGAACGTCAGTGTTACGTGATATGATAGTCTTCAATTTTAAGGAACGTCAGTGTTACGTGATGTGATAGTCTTGAATTTTAAGGAACATCAGTGTTATGTAATGTGATAGTCTTGAACTGTAAGGAACATCAGTGTTATGTGATATGATAGTCTTGAACTTTAAGGAACGTCAGTGTAACGTGATAGTCTTGAACTTTAAGGAGCGTCAGTGTAACATGATGTGGTAGTCTTTAACTTTAAGGAACATCACTGTTATGTAATGTCACAGTCTTCATCTTAAAGCTGTTATCAGAATTGTGTTGAAATCGATGACTTATAACTGTAGCTATTGATAATGTGAAACTAGACTTTTTAATAACAGAATAAATTTATAAATCTGACTGTTGATCCTTCTTTGAATTACATCTGAAAACTAACAATATCTGTTGCTATACAAGATGTAAGAAATTAAATTGTACAACCAGGACGTAATAGACCGAATATTTAGTGGTACTAACTTTTCTTTTCAGCAATTTTACCTTTAGTAACAAAATAGTATCAGAAATAATTGCAGGACTTCAGGAGTCTCAAATAAATAATTAACATTTCCCAAGTAATTTCATGTATGGGAAAAACCTCGAATTTTACTTTAAGAAAAGATGGCTGTCACTATTGTCATGAGCAGGGTTCCATATTGTTTTTCTTTATTTTGGGCTGACTACAAATTCTTCTGAGCACTACGTTTTGTCCAGCACTGTTATTGAGTGGCTATTGGTGCCTATATTCCTGCCTTATGGTATTGTTCAAATTGTAGGCTTATGTCTTCCACACAGAACTGATTAATGTGTGAACGACCTGTTGTTTTTGGTGTGCAATGCTTGCCAGATTGCTGCAAGACCATGCATGCAGCTTAGAGTGTACATTGTTGGACACAAAAAGAATCCAAATAATAATGGTTGTTTAATATGTTATGTTATTATTCAAATGTATAAGACATTGGTATGAATACACGTTTGTAAATCTTCCAGATCACATATGTAATAGTACTGTCAGTTTGAAAAGCTCTGTTCCTCAACTGCTCTAAATCTTAGAAACACAATCCTTATAATAATGTATATACAACTTGTTAAGATTAAATATATATAAAGTACAGGTTTCTTCTAAAACACAGTCTGATTTTATAGTTAATAAATAATCTACTTATCCAACAGATAAAATATTAAGGTATTAACTACATACCCCTAGCTATGTAACATGAAACATATAAACTCAAACCTGTGCTGTGTATATGTATGTATGTATGTGTATATATTTATGTATGCTGCTTCAGCACTTTTACAAATGCTGTTTGTAAAATATTTTTCCAATTTTAAATTTTATCTGGTATGTAGCTTATAGTAATAGTAAATAATTCTGTGTGAACATTTTTTCCATAAAGTAATCCACATGTATTGTATCTTTTCTTCTCCACTATATTAACAAATTTTTGTCTATTTCATACTTTAAGTTAATATATCAGAATAAAGCTTTCCTTGTGAATTGTAGCATATCTGAGATGACAATATATATATATACTAAAACATTGCGAATTCAGAAACAATCTTGCTTGGGGTGTAAGGACGATGATAGTGCTTAGTATGTAGGGATGGGCCGGGAAAAAAAATGGGAACCGTATATTATATATTGCTCATCAAACTCTCAAATATCTCTTATCTAAGAGCATTTTATAAACACCTAATGTAGGTTTTCAAAAGCTATTAAGACCTTCAGTTTAGCCAAAAAACATTGCTAAAGTAGAACCAGTGAGCAGCATAATTGACAAATGTTCTACTGCTTATTCTGATTCAAATGTCAGAAAAACTAGCTCATCAGTGCGTTGATTTACACCTCAAAATGTTGCATTTTAACTTGGGGAGTACAGAAGCAGTGTAGCATTTTACTTACTTCAACACATGATGTCCATCAAGACAACTCATCATGCCAGGCTAAAACTGCTGCCTTCATAGTGACTGCCATTCATTAATTCATTGGTGGTGTTTGAAAAAAAAGAGGGGAAACAAATAATAAAACATTTGGAAAAAATAAATATGATGTACGGATGGCAATGCCAAAAGTACAGAAACAAGGTAGGGATGAATACACGAAACCGTACAAAAATCCCTACATAAGTAGCTACTGAGTCAATGTCACAAGCTTATTAGAATTAGCCATTGTAAGACTATAACATTATTCAGTTTAAATGCTTTTATTCAAACCTGAATTCATGCAAATGAAAGAAATTCAACATATATTTGTAGATAAAAGTTTTTCTTGGAAAGACTTGGTTACTTATGTAGGGATTTCTATATGGTTTTGTGTGTTCATCTCTACCTTGTTTCTGTGTTTTTTGACATTGCCATCCCTACACTTATTTTTTTCAAAATTCTTTAATTACTTGTCTTAATATATATTAGTCAGTTCATCTGTTTTACACCAGAAGACAATCTGTTTTCTAACTTGTAATCAGTGCAGTTGTGGATTGAATTGACCTTGATAGCTGTGAGATTGGATGATGGGGTTGTTATTTGAATAGATGTTGCTAGACATGTTAATTAATACTGAGCAAAGCTTGAAAAGAAAGGAATAAATGACATGGATATACATGTTAATTGAGCAATATTCTTTGCATTATTTGGTTCATATTATCTGTTAAACTGAAATTATTTAAAAACACACCAGCTAAAAAATTAAAACACAACAGTCTCTTGTTTTGACTTGTAAAAGAAGTCTTCTTTGTTGTTGTTTATTTGTTTTATAAATAGTCTTAACTCATCTAGGTCTATGCTGGTATTTAACATCTGTATTTTGCCATGTGTTTGTTGTCTTTATTAATTAGTAAATGTGTACATCATGTGAAAGGGAGTGTTGGCCTGCGTACCTATTTATCAGATGTAGATGCAGTCTAGCGATATGCTTCTGAAAATCTCTTGTGTACCACAGTTTGTTCCAATATTTCATGATTTTCCTAGTTAATGATATGTGTTCAGTTAGAGTGGGTTCTGTTATTTTTTTCCTTTTTTTAACTGCATTTATGTTCCCTAATTATTTTAATAATTGCCTGCTTTTTCCACTATACATAATATCGCAATATTTACATTTTATTTGATAAATGTAACCATTACTTTTCTAAAGAATCTGTCTTACCTTTTTGACGTACCAACATTTGCTTAAGAGTCAAACATGAATCTGAAGAAACTAATATTAGCTAAAGCTAAACTTCTATTAAGCTTTTTCCTTACTTCTTGGATGTAAAGTAAAGTAATCAAATTTTTTGAAGTTGCTTTTGGTTTGAGTACTTTAAGTAAAAATGTACATTTTTGAAATTCTTAAGTCAGGCATTGACAAATCCCAGGTCGACATATCAACTAGAGTTTTCTCCTATTTTATTAGTGCATAGGGATGTGCTAGCTAAAACTTGATTCTAGAACAGTTCTGGACTCTTGGAAGTCTGAAACTATTTTTGCATTCTTTTAGTCCAAAATCGAACTTTGAATTCAGCACTTCTTTGTGTTTTTTCGGGAATGAAGAGCAGCAGTTGCACAACACGTTACTAATCTCCCGCCATTTTGTTTTTCTTCTTTCTCTCAATTTGACCAATCAGTGCGCATGTTTAGACTCGGATGGGACCAATACTATCAAGTGGTTGTTGATATCGTGGTCGTTAGCATGCACTTGTTGCTGTGAAAGTAAATAGATATACGTAGCCCCCATTTCCCGGTACAAACAGTAGCGAAGTTAGGTTAGGCACACCAAAAGGCCTTTGCTTATCATTGTACATGTTGTAATGAGGAGTAGATTTTACTCTCATTCATTGCAAGAATCCACCTAAGTTATAGTTATTAATCTACTATTTTAATAATTGCACATATTGAAGTTTAACTTTAATATATATTACATAATAAACTTTAATAATGTATCTTTTGTTTTTAGTGTAAAACTGTACGTCTCGAACCATAACCACACAACTAGCTCAAAATATATTCCGTAACTTTTCTGAAAATATTTGTCGAGGTCTGGCTTAAGAATAACCACTTTTTTATACATTAATACAACTTAGTTCCTTAAGTGTTTTTTTGTAGGATAGTTGCAACTAGTGTTTGCTTTGTAGCATAAATTAGTGACAACTAGTGTTGTGATTTTGGATGATACATTCTGTTTTCATTTTTGGGCTGGTGTGTTTTTTAGTAATTTTGTACCAATATTTATGCTGCAATTAATTGTAATATCTGTTATCCAGCATTTAAATATATATATATATACAGTTAGTAAATTTAAAGAAAGTATGACTGGGGAAATGTTAACTAATAAAGAATTTCATTGAGCAAGAAAATATGCATTCCAGGTTTTTAACAGTGTTTTAATAACCTGTCAGTAGGATCATTTTATTATTTGGTAGTCTTAGCAATACTTATTAACCCGATCACTAAAGAACATAGTTTACATTGAACAAAAACACACCAACACTAACTAAATTTGTTTACTAAGGCATTGAAAAAATACATATTGTGTAATCAGGTTCGTGCGACATAAATGTTTTATATTTTTATTGATCAATAAGTGTGATCAGGTTCGTGCGACATAAATGTTTTATATTTTTATTGATCAATAAGTGTGAATATTTTTGTTTATATGGTAGTAAAAAATGTAGTTTGTTTTTTTTCAGGTTGTAGATCACTTGTGTCAAGTTCAAGGTTTAGTGGAGAAAGGATATGATGGAATAGAAGCTGAGACAGCTCTTCATCTTCATGATTACAGAGTAGAAGAGGTTTGTGTACTAGGTTTTTATTACAGCAGTGTATGTAAAACTATGTAAAACAGCACAGTCGAAATGTATCTCATTATGATAAAATCAACCAAATTACTGGGTGAGCCCCTTGCTTATATCAGATGATTTTTGACTGTTTATACCTGTCTGGTTGTTTAGTGAAACCCATTTTCTAACATGCATGCATTGTCACCTAGCTAAGCCTACCCAGTTCATTGCATTTTCTCTCTACTTTACAATCTTCACATTCTCTTTCTGGAATTTCTGATCATATATTTAGACGTAGCCTATGATTATTACATTTTCTACTGACATATGCATAGTTATCTTTTTGTATTTGCTGATTACCAGTGTGTATTAAATTTGTATTTATTATTTGTTTTCTGTTTCATATAGTTAACTTTACCCATATTTATCAAAGGTCCTATTTTATATCTTCAGATATCTATTTAAGATTAACCTCTATCTTCAGTGTTCTCCCATTCAATTGTATTGTTTATTATTTAGTTAATATTTTTAACTTGTACTTCTCATATGCCTAATTACCCAGCTCAGCTTGACATCTTGTCCCTTGTCAGATACTTAATTCCTTACCTAATTGAGTGTGAGACTTATAGATTGTCTTGTGTCGTTTCAGGCCATGAAGTACTTGGACTTGATGAATCAGTTCAGTGTCCTGGGATTTGAAAAAGATGCTATCAAGAAGGCATTAATAAGACAGAAAAATGACCGAGATAAGGCTTTAGATGCATTACTTCTCTAATAGTTCCAGAGTGAATAACTGCCTCTTTGTTTTTATTCAGAATAAACCTGTAAAAAATATGTGCATCCATTCCAGAAAAAACAAAATGTTGAATAAATACTGTTGAACAATGCATTACTGCTTTGAAAAAAATACTTTTATATGAGCAGAATTATCCTGATGAAACTATAGATTTAGCAGTGTTCGTACTATATTCTATACATATGTATATGAAGAGTTGTTGTGTGAATAGTGTATTGTGGTAATTGATCTGAATTCAACTGGAGTGGAACCAAGATTAATTGTATGTATAGATAAATATAATTATGTGAGTGAGTGGGATAAAGCTTTTATGGAGCTAAAGAAAATAATTTCAGTTGGTCAGCTGATTAATTTTTTCTAGTATTTCAGTGAAGGAGATACCATTGCAATAGTAGAAAGAACTTCTAGGTGATTTATTTAAACCAACAAATGATTTTTGTTCATTCAGTAAAGGTTTTGCTATATTAATTTCTTAATATACCATGCAATGTTTGCAACACGTGCATAACAATCAGTAATATAAAAACATTGGTAAGATGTTCAAAAATAAAAGAGTTTGTTGCTATTTGCTTGGTAAGTATTATGTAGTTTTTAATTTTCAAATAATTCCAAGGACTTTAGCATCTTCTTTAAAAAATCAAGCTCTGAAAATATTACCTGGTTGTTTTTAACACTTTTTTTTTATCACATTTTCAAAAGTACACACTGTATTGTCTACACATGAAACAATTAGGAGATTAGGCTGCATGTTGATAACTATCACAAAGTATTCGGTTTTGCTGTTTTTTTTAACACACAATAGATGAACTTGAGACTTTTGAAAGACAAGAACAATTTTCAAATACCAGCAGTCATGTTTAATGTTATCCTAGTAGAAAGTATGAACAGTACTTTAAAAAGGTATGAGCTTTTTGAATAATTCACCTATCTCGATAAATAATACGTATACTGCTAAAACTCACTTTAATCTTGGAGTAACATAGTAACGAAAAAACAGTGTGAATGTGCATATAAAGAATTTTCCTTTGTTTCATTAAAAGTTCCTTCCCACCCATTTAACATTTTGTTTATTTTTGCTTCAGAAGTCTGTTGGATTCAACCACTGATTCAAGCTTTTTAAGTTTGCTGCTCTGGTTATGTGGTATATTTTTATTTATATGAGTGGTATTTTTGTTTCAGACATAATGGTATATTTATAATTAAATTCAAAGTATTCTGTTGTGTTTCCATTGAAGATATACTTCTGCTACTGTAGACAGGGAACTTTCTTCCTGAATGAGTCTTTGACCCTGTAACTAAGAAGGACTTGCAAGATCAGTGATCAGTAGTCAAAATCAGTGTTATTCAAGTGGTATCTCATTAAAATACCTGGAACGTGTTATTCAAGTGGTATCTCATTAAAATACCTGGAACGTGTTATTCAAGTGGTATCTCATTAACATACCTGGAACGTGTTACTCAAGTGGTACCTCATTAAAATACCTGGAACGTGTTATTCAAGTGGTATCTCATTAAAATATCTGAAACGTGTTATTCAAGTGGTACCTCATTAAAATACCTGAAACGTGTTATTCAAGTGGTATCTCATTAACATACCTGGAACGTGTTATTCAAGTGGTATCTCATTAAAATATCTGAAACGTGTTATTCAAGTGGTATCTCATTAACATACCTGGAACGTGTTATTCAAGTGGTACCTCATTAAAATACCTGGAACGTGTTATTCAAGTGGTACCTCATTAAAATACCTGGAACGTGTTATTCAAGTGGTACCTCATTAAAATACCTGAAACGTGTTATTCAAGTGCTATTTCATTAAAATACCTGGAACAAAATTTGAATTTTTTGACATACATTTTAGATCATTGGGGTCAGCAGGAACAAAATGGTGGATGTTGAAATTTTGTCCCGATAGGGTACTGTTATGTATGACAAAAGTAAGATGATTTAAAAAAGTCATATCAGAATACTTCACCATTCTAACAGTAATAACAAAATGGTAATCAGAGTGACAAAGGTATTCTCAGATAAAGTTAATTTCATGCATTATAAAACATTTAAAAGCCGCATATATGAAAATAATTCTTAAATAGCCCAAATTCATATCTTGTGTTCACAGTACTATATCGTAAAGCTCGGAGATTAGTGGCAGTTGCTAATCAATTAATTTACACTCCCATTAATCAATTAGTAAAGTGTTCCTCAAACCTTGGTACATACAAACAAAACAACAAAAAATTTTGACAGCAGATGTTCCCAGCAAGTTAGTTACCTTCCCTCCATTCAGCAGCCCAAAATTAGTTACAGTGGTAGGTAGCCTTAGTAATTTTGCCGTAACAAAGACAGGATGATCAAAAGTGTGGTGGCTGTGTAGCTAGCTTTGTGCTTAACAAACCATATAGCAATATTTTGATATTACTTTGACAGTTGAAATAAATGAAAATACTTATAATCAGAAACCCTAATTTTTCATTAGTTGATTATTTTTGTGACAGTCGATCTAATTGGAATTTTGATTAGTCGATCTTTGGAATAATTGGAAATACTCATTTTGATATACAAACTGATTTTGATTGATTTAATGACAATTTCAATTAATTAGTTTGCATGAAACTGACCAATGTAATCTGGTCATACATAGTTCATTAATCACCCATCTCTACTATATCATTTTGCCTTATGCTCGCATAATTTCCTGACTTTTGATCCCACATTCAACCTCTCCTCAACTTGTATTGCTTAGATATTTTTACATATCAGGAAGTAATGTATGAAAATGTTTTGTTCTTAAAAACTAGTTAGAACATGCAAAAATGGATTTTGTATTTTGGCTCCATTTTTCTCTGTATTTCAATGAGATACTACTTGAAGATAAACTTTGATACTAAATTTTGATCATTGATCTTGACTGTCTTTTGTTATTCTGCTTTTGTCACAAGCAGTAAAACCTTGTTTAAAAAAAATCTGGCATTGTATTTGCAACAAAATCACTTTTTGAATTTGCTCAAGCTTCTCTTTTGTTCATATTTATCATAGTACAGACATTTTTGTATTTTGCAGGAACATTTTTTTTTCTTTTTATTAAGATGTGATCAGTGGTTCCTCTTCCAACTTGACAAACATATCATAAGACATGTTTAAACTCTGATGCAATTTCTTCTCCTACCATAGACAACCACAGAAATTATTACAGGGAGGGGCAAAGACTTTTGCGGGGGGAATAGTGTGAAATTGTAAATCGAATAAAAAAAATTCACTTACATTATGTAACTCATTTTCCCTCCCCCACCCACCCCTTACTCGAGTGCGTGGATGCCCGTATATCCTACTTACATTCTGCAACTGAAGGTTTTGATTGTGGCTAAAGGCCTAACAACAGGTTCATTGTGAAATCCTGTTCCACATTTCCCAAGTTTTCCAGTTAGTTACCTTTTACAAGTTTCTGTTGCTACAAACCAAGATTGGTTAATGATATCACTAGGTTAGTGGTGTTACATCTAGTGATTTCAAGAGCAGTTTTCTCCAAGTTTTTTTTTTATTATTATTTTTATCTAAAAAAAAAATATTTTTTTTTCTTAATTAGGCTATGTCGTAGTCAAAGTTTACCTATTATGGATTATAACTGTATAAAATTTCATTTCTTCAAGGTTAGATAGGATTCAATATTCCTAGTATTCTTATATTAATTATGTTATAAGTAACTGATTATATCATTTTGAGTATAATAGTATAATTTATTTTTGCAAACATCATGACATTTAATATTTTTTTTTCGTTTACAAATGATTTTTTTACCATCAAAGCATGCTTTACCAAAAGAATATTAAATTTTTAATTAGATGATTGTGAAATATTCTTTAGTTTTATCATCCTATCAAAGGCATAACTTGGAGATGCTAATATGTTGTTTTTTTTTCAAATCAACCTAATCAGCTTGTGTATTAATTTAGAAAAAAAGTCACATGACATTTATTTGTAAGAGCATTTTGCATTGAAAGTTATCATTCAGGACATGCAGACATCTTTGTAAGCACAGCAAAGTTTTTTAAGTGTGAATGATGTTTTTGTGCAATTACTTTGCCCTTCGTTTAGGTGGGTTTTTTGGCATTCCATGTTTTAGATTTTTTTTATACAAACAACATAACTCATCTATAATAAAGAATAATAATTTAGCTTGTCTACTTATAGGTTTAGAATTTTCCTCATTTCCAACATAACTCCTTGCACCACATATAAGTTGATAAGGTTAAGATTTATCTAATTATGATCAACCTTTTTTTATGACCTTATAAAAATCGTTCACAAAAAATATAAATGTCTCTTTTTTTTTTTAACTTCTCACATTGAAATTTTACACCATCTGTTTGTTATTATAACCAATAATAATCTGTTTTGTGTAGATGTTATTTAGGGAAAGTTACATTTCTGTCAATGCAGTATGAGACTGATTACTTTAGTCCTTTTTCCAGCTTAAAAAGGATGTTTTCTGTGTTCTGCATTTTTTTCATCACTCGAGAGTAGTCCTATAATTTGTTTATTCTACACATCATCCATTTCAGTGGTCCTCCAATGGGATAGCAGTAAATCTAAATACTTCCAACACTAAAATTTGGGGTTTGATTCCCTGCAAAGAATAGTCCAAAACAAACCATTTCAGTGAGAGTTAAAAATAATTTTTCATCGTTTATTCCAGATTTTCGTGATAACTTTGAATCAGGTTATTATTAAAACTGAAGCTTTTGATTTTAGGTAAGTTAATTATTTTTATCACTGATAATCATCTCTTAAAAATCTCTGGTTTGATGTCCCGCAGTGGACAGAGTGTAGATAGCCTATTGCATAGGTTTATGCTGAAATACACAAACCTGAGTTTTGTGTTAAACATGTGTACTTTGAATGTCTTTGTATCACCTCTGATTTGTTGCTAGAATTTTAACTTTGTTTCTGTTCCTCACAATCAGCATGCTGCATTTTTCTCTCCTGTTTTACTATAATATTTTTTTATTCTTGGTTAGAAAGAACCTACCAGTTAATTATTGATTGTAAGTGTTTCCAATTTAGCTGCCCCTTCAATAATGATGTACAATATTTGAAATAGTATTTCATATCGTATTGAATTTTTTTAATAATTTGTCAGTTATGGGCTGAAAATGTAGCTGTAAAAAAGGCCAGTCAGTGTAAAATAAGAACTGTATAACATGCAAGTACAGTTGTTTATATTTTTAAAATTATAGTTATGCATGGCATTTGTAATTATTGAAAAAAATTATTTCGATAATTGTGATACCGTTCCTCATAGTAGCACTTGTTTGAAAAGTAAAATTGATTCTGAAACTCCCTTGCTTCTTGGATACAGGTTAATTATATTATGAGCATTACAGAGAGTTTATTACTATGTCACAATATATTTTGTAGGTTTCTTAAAGGAGAAAAATTGTAATCTACTGGAATTCTTACATTTATTTATATATGTACCATTTCATATATTAGGTTGCATAAAGATATTATTTCATAGTGTTTATTATTGTTTTTTCATTTTGTTAGCAATTTTCTTAATGGCTAATAAAGACTTATTGTCCAACATGAAGATAACAGTAAGCTAACAAAAATTTAAGAATGTTAACATCATCAAGGCTTCAATAAACACGTACTCATACTTCTACAGATACTTCAAGTTAGTAATAAATATAGACATCTTACGTCTCCCTTGTATAGTAAGTATTTTGAATAATAATAATAATTAATTTAGCTTTAAATCCTTGATCATGAAGAACACCAGGCTCTCTAAAAATGTCAGCTTTTTTTTTTAATTTGCAAAATACCATATAAAAGTTATACAGATGATCCATGATATTGTTTCAATTTAGCTTTTTATTTAACTTATTAATGCTGTATCTGAAAATGTATGGTTAAAGAATGATTCTGTGGTTTATACTTGTCACTCACAATTGATAATAGAGATTGGTATTTATTGAAATTAGTCAAACCTATTGTAGTGAAATTAGAACTAGTCTATTTGTATGAGTAAGTGAAAGTTTTTTGTTTTTTTTGCACCTGAAAGACACAAAAGACTGGTGCTTAACTGTGGCACAAGCAGATGACCCCTTCCCCCTGGATGGGATGCCATCTATTGCAGTTTAAACCTCAACTACCTACTGATACAACCAGGTGGACTGAAAACAATTGGGATAGTGTCTTGTTCGAGAACACAACAACATGTTTCAGGCAAGCCCCAAACTTGCAACCTTTTAACTATGAGTCAAAAGCACTAGGCCATTCTGCCACATTATCAATGTGCTTCAGTTAAAAACTGATAAAAAATAAGCATACCAAAACAGTAGTAAAAACCATTGAAGGATCTTCAATTAGAGGTAGAATAATTTTATGGTTTTTCTATAGTGTGTTCAGAAATGGTTAGTATTTGTGTGTTCACCCAGAAAGCTTCATATCTAAGCAGCTGTAAATAATAGCTGTAACATTTAATAACAACTATTTCAAAATAAATTTTATCAATAAGATGCCTATGAATATGCTCATGTTATTGAACCATGCTGATTCTTTAATTTTTATAAATGCCTTTGAAAAGGTTGAAAGTAAGCTGTGTGACATTTCAAGGATAAGAAACTATCCTTCAATTAAAACCAGAATCTAGGGACGTGTTGAGACTTCTAAGGTATGTAGTTAATGAATGAAAAAGTTGAAGGAAGATAGAATAGTGAACTTTATTTACATAAATATGCTGCATTCAAAGTTTGTTCAAGCAGTTGGTAAGAAAAAGATTCCTGTATTAAAACGTATGGCACGTGGATGTTTTGGTCTTTATAGTAAAAATATCGTTTTGATATGCTATTAAATGTTTATAAAAAAAAAAACGGAGTACCTTACAATACTTGAAAAGTGCCCCTTTAATGTACTATGTATGCAATATTATCATAAAAGTTGGGCAGTATCATATCAGTTACATATTTCTAAAATTAATTGTACAATGAAATTCATCACCCGATGATTTATAGCAGTGACTTATCTCCAACCTTACCTGTTAGTTACTGAAACGATACACAATACAAATTGTCGATGACAATTGACAAATGCGGTTGCTTATATTGAAAACAAATTGGGTATAAAATACAAAATCATTAAAGTTTAATGTCATTCCTTACTGTCATTGAAGATGTTTACCTTGGTTTCTTTCTTTCTCTCTCTAAGATTGTCATAATTACAATCTTACTTTAAAATGTACACAATCTAATATGGTATGTATAATTACTATGTGCAGTAAATAAAAGTTTTAATAGGAGAAGTATGCATCGCCCAACAGTAATTTTAATTAATAATAATAAAAAATAATATATATTCCAACTTTCGGTGACCTACACAGTTGAACTTCAACATAGAAAACTGAAGGAAGTTGGAAAAGGCCAAAAGGTTCATTTAACACTTACCCTGAGGCACTACTACGTATATGGGGGCATGCTGAAAGTTCATGACTACTTTGACCTCAACCTGATTTTTAAGATGTTTTTAAACCTTTACGTTTAATTTTCTTTTTACTTGCGATAAAACTTGTTACAGGTGTCGTCATTGTAGATAATGGTAATGTCAAGGTTGAGATATTAGATTTCATGATGATAAAAGAAATATTCGTTTTGAAATTCCTTAAAACTATATCTGCACTGCTATCACTTCGCCGAGATATATTTCTAATATAAATCAAAATATTCCAATCAGCCATTTACCAGTCAACCGACAATTTATATTTGTCAAATGGTATGATATTTTATTCAACTAGCCCTAAATATTAGAACAAGCAATTGTGTGTGTATATCTATATGTGTTAATCATAAAATATTTAAGTAAGTTAGTGCCTCGACGAGTCTACTTAATTCGCGAAGACATTCAAGTGGACCGAACATTGTCTAATCAATCACCAATTCATTTGCACAGGTTGCAACTGTTTGATACCGAAATACAAACCAGTTAGGCGTTGTTCACTGAAACAGCCGTAGTCATTTTCAAAGAAGAAAACTCTCAGTTCTTTTAACTTTAGAATCTTTTAAAAACAAAATTAACCTTCGTCTGTTCATTGTAGAGTTTAATAAAATTACAAATTTGCTCCCTGATGAACAAAAAGTCTACCTTTCGAATACTGTTAGGTTATATGGTTTTTAATTTTTTCTCTTATTGTAATAATATGGTATTGTTCTATCAACATCGCATTTAGACTATGGACTCTCAAACATTATCTATTATAATAATACTCATTGTATGGTAAAGTAAAATAGATTCAAAACATCATCAAACTTATATAAAAAACCAGTGTATGTCAAGTTATGCTTGATTTTTTTTAAATAGGAGGAGTCATAAAAACCAAAATGCATTTATCCAGATAGAATAGTTCGATTACTGTCTGCCTCTTACAATCTTAGTGACGGAGGTACCGTGATACCTTATAAGTGTAGTGAGTGTTGTTTTAATAAGCCTAAAGTAAATATGTAGTGTGGTATCACCTAGCCTAGAGCCCAGTGCATAAAGTTTATCATGAAAGTAACAATATCGATTCAATTTTAAACTTAAATATTTTCTGAATTAAACTATTTTCTGTTATATCACTAACGTTCTTAATAATAATAAAAAACCTATTTAATCAACGGAGACTTTAAATTAAGAAACCAACAAATATCTTTCCAGTTTTGTTCTCTATACATTTCATTTTATACTTTCAGCACATAGACTAACAACAATATTAGGTTATACTTTTGTTGCTAAGCAACATGACATAAAAGCCAGCGTTGGAACATAGTGTTACCAAAACGCACTGGCTTTTCTATATATTATAAGTTGTTAATCTACTGATTTTTACCAATAATTATTCTATAAATACACCACGAATTCATTTCATGGATGATTTTAATTTTGATTGGCTCACAAATGAATTTACTGACGTTTGACTGTTTCAACTGCACTTTTCTGTCAAGCTTGATTTCGCCCAAAATTATTTATTTCAGTTAGCTATGAAATGTGAGGTTAGGTATACTATGGGGTGGGGTGGTAATACTTGCCATTTTTGACAAGCTATACGTTAGTAGATATGATAATACTCAATTTTTTTGCCTGTCCTGAAAATGCGCGCTCACTTGGAATAACGCATGTAATCAAAATATGGATATAAATATACTTTAGTAGAAATTTTATACAACATATTAAAAGTTTTTTGAAAGGTCTAACATTAGGTCGTAGAATAGTATTATAAATTGATTTATTGATAGTATTAGGTAAAATAAAGTTTAGCCCTAACTAAACTAAAGCGAAAAAAAGGCACACGAGTTACAGCGTAATTTTATCTATAAAAAATAGGCCGTACTTGATATAGGCTTAAATAATGATAGGTCTAAGACAAGTAGACGCACAAGTTTATTGTGTTGTGCGATTAAAATGATTTTGTATTATTCTAGAAATCCTGTATTTACAGAACAGAAGTACTGTTGCAATAAAGATACTAATCTGCCTGCAAATGTTTTGTGGGTCTCTGCTAGTGTATATGTAATATAATATCCATTTATGTTATTGAAACGTTTTTACTTCATTGGCAAAATTATCTGGTAAAAATAATTCAACGTCCAGTCCACGTATCGATAACGAATTGCTTTATTTCCCCATTTAACCATTTCTACGAACTTGTACGCTGCAGTAAATTGCTGTAGGCCTACGTTACAAATGACGTTAACGTTAAACAAATCAACTTCTTTTATGTTGGGTTTGAGTCCGTTTTACTTCACCATATACTAACCTAAGTCAATTTAGGCAGTGAATAATTTTATGATATTTCGTCGAATTCACTTTTCGAGGCACAGTGGTATGTCTACGGACTTTCAACGCTAGAATCCGGGTTTCGATACCGTGGTTGGCAGAGCACAGATAGTCCATTGTGTAGCTTTGTGCTTAATTACAAACAAACAAACATTATTCGATATCATACAGTGGACAAATTAATTTCGGCTCTGGTGAAAAAGAAAATAAATCTTTAACAAATCAGTTTTATGTACAAAGTAGCAGAGATAACTAACAAACTGACAGGTTCACTCTCTACCTTGAAATCACTCATTACACTTCACAACTATTTCGTATATAAACAATATAGCTAGAATACATTACATCCTAAAAGTTTTTAGACGTTATAAGCCTATCATATTTAGATCTTTTGATCTAAACTATTATTAAAACCCGCAATTCCCTCTTACCAACATTTAAATTACTACATTAAAAATGTAGTTTTTAACACTACTTTTGGAAATCAAAGGATATTCTGTCTGATTATTATTATTTTTGTTAATTAAAAATATATTTATGTTGTCAACGGTTCTTGCTCCTTCATTTTAAAACACGAGATAATGTTAAAAGAGAAAATAATATTTTAAGTTTTTATAACAAGTTTTCATAATTTATTTCTACCTAATTTTTTAAGCAGTATACAAATGTATAAAAAGATACGAGTGATAATCTCAGATTGTTTATTAATATACACGCAAAATAAGCAAAAACACAACAACAGAATCACGATAATTTGATCGTTATTTTGTTACTGCTTACATAAACTTACTCTTAGATGTTTTTCGTGGGAAATGCATGACTTGGCATTTTGTGAAATTTGAATCAGGCAGTTACTTCTGTAAATGTACAGTAATCACAGATAATTAAAATGTCCATACATTGTTAATTTATACAAGAGAAAAATATATTTGTACCATGCTATTCGTTTACTTCCAATATTAATACATAGCCTAGGGTTAATATATACTCAAACATTAATTTATTTTGTGGACATTTTGTTGATGAGAGCAGTTAGCCGCACGTAAGAGGAAATATAAATAATATTTCGTAGAACAGCATCTTGTATTTAAACTTCTGCTCTGTACCTTGTTTTGTTCTTTTTTCCTAAGTGAAGACCCTGTCATAATACCTCGAAATAATTCTGGACTAAAAAAACAAAGAAACAGAGTAATATTAAACCCTATAAAATAGATATGTATGAAAGTTATCAAATAAAAGATGACAAAACATTTCTCGTGGTGGGCAGAGCACAGATAGCTCATTGTGTAGCTTTGTGCTTATCTTCAAACAATACATAATATGCTTTCAATTAATTTTTACTATTGTAGCAAAATGAAATTTTCAAAATGGCATCATTATTTTTATAGCGTTGGATACTTCCAACTAAACATGCCCTCCACCCCAGTGGCACAGCGGTATGTCTGCGGACTTATACCGCTAGAAACAGGGTTTCGATACCCGTGGTGGGCAGAGCACAGATAGCCCTTTGTGTAGCTTTATGCTTAACAACAAACAACAACCATCCAAACATGTAAAAACAATGTCAGAAGAAAACCAATCATAAGATTTGTCACACTCGAATATTATTATGAAAATATAATTGTTGTGTAGTTATGATTGTAATAATATATAAAGCTTGAGTTTTTTGTTTTGTTTTAAACTTTCAATGTAGTTCCATCTGATTATTTTTTCTATCTGTTATTGTATAGTTACCGATAACGAAACTTTATGTTGAATAGATTAACATAAAATTATGTTATTCCACACATATTAATAACGGTTTGTTGCTCAACTTGTGGTGATCCATATAGTCAATGGGCTTACTGAACAAGTGTCCTTGACAAACCGCTTTTCTTTTGTTGGGTGTACCAAGAATTACTCATTCTTCAAATGCATTACTCATCTTTCACTAATAACAAAAAAATCAGAATCAAACTAAAAAATATACAATAGCGAAAAGCACAAAAATACGAATGATAATTGACGTAGGTTTGGTTGATATTAGGAATTTAGGATGTTCTGTGTAGAATGTTAACTTGTGGAAAACATTTTAAAACACGGAAAATATATATGAAATTGTTATTAACATTTTATAAAACAAACAAACTTGGAATTAATGAATATCACAATACAATAAAATTTTGTGTGAGTATTTCATACCTCTGTGGGTTTTTAAACGTCTGCGTGTAGGAAATAAGAGTGTGTGACGTCACATCTGCGATCTGTAGACGTTGTATTTTGTTTTGTTTCTGCAAGTACTATTCGCAAAGCCTTTCGGGTGACATACATGTGTACGTGCAAAGGAATGTACTGCAAGAAAGACTAAAATGGCGGCGCTGGTAGAAGGGCAACAATATGGTCTTTTTTCACAGGGAAGTTATTCGAATTCTAACTCATTAATATTTGTTAAATTAACAGATTCTGCGCTTAAATCAATAGAGGATTATCTAAAGAATAAGGTGGGTAGTTTTTTAATAAGTGGTTATAATTTATTATGAATCTTACTTTATTTTGTTACTTTGATCTCACTCGTTATGATCACTCCATATTATACCAATTTTCAGTTCCTACACGTAATTTACACGGGTTTTAAATCACAGCTTGTTCGTATTGAGTCCTACTGGTCATAGCGTGACCATTACAGTTTACTTTATTATTAAATAAGCCAACATGTTCAGGTGTTTTTTCGCTTTTCAGGGGTATGGTATTCTTAATTAACTTCTTCCTTGAACTTTGAAGTTGAACTTGAAGATATGTTTAGTATACTAACCGTTACACCAACACTTGATCCTGCAGTTAAATTAAAAGAATAAAATGTAGAACCTGATTTAATAAATATTAATCACTTAGGCTTATGATTATACTTAAACTGTTAAAGTAATTGTTATTAAGAAGAAGTAATACAGAGTCAAAGAGTGTTGTGTCAAATGACAGTGTTACTGTTACAACGATGTAGGCCTATACTACCATATTAGGAATCTAGTGGCTTCAGAACCAAACTATTTAGTTTTATTTATGTACAGGTATTATTGCTTTTGTTATTCATAATAATACTTTTGCAGTCATAAGCTGGGTATCACTCAGTGACTATCACTGTCACAATATATACTTATTAATTAAAAAACTGAAGTAACTTGAAATAGCTGTAGTTTGAGTACAACAGATAAACTTCTAAAAGTAGAAATGAGTAAACACCATTCAAAGGTTTTTTTAATTGGAATTATTTTTAAAGATGTATTGGTAGGTATTGAATCCTTAGAATAGTTGCAGAAGAGGCTCAATAATGACGTATATTTCGAAAATTTTAAACTAGTATGTATGAAGAGGCTTAACAGTTGTACTTGCTTTGTGTGCAGTATAAAGTAATTAGAACTTAAACTAGATACTTTGCAGATATTTAAAGATTTTAGTGGCTTTTAAAAGATACGTTTGAAAAGGTTGAAAATTGAACATTAATAATAATAAAGGAAGCAAGATTTAGACTTTTTTTAGTAAAATCATTTCTCTGTTATTGTTAGAATTATAGTTTAAACTTATGGAATGGTTTGCCTGGTAGTGTTGTGTACACTAGCTTACTTTCTTATATTTTGTTGAATAGGAAGAAGAATATTATAGGTTACATTTTGTTTGTCATGATGCTTTGGATTAGTGTTTTTGTGAATAAAGGGGTGACCTCAGAGAGCCATATGGAATGATATTATAAGGGATAATATGATTGTTACTGTTAGAGACTGACCCTCAAGTACTGAAATATTTTTTTATATCTTTCAGAACAGCTGGGGTCCATATATTGCATTATATTCAGTAATTTTATTTCTTTACTTGTAGAAACACTCAGTATAAAGAATTTACCAAATGACTCATTTTTTGTATAAAAAATATATAATTGATTAGTGTAATAAATTGCAATACCATTGGCACTTAAACAATTTTTGTGTGACATGTATACCATTGGAGTCCTTATAACCAATAAAGTGATAGCCGTACAAGCAGTTTTGAATAAAAAAGTTTATAAAAAAAATTGTATCAAAATCCAATGGAATCCTTATATGGTTCTCATCTGGAATTCAAGGTTTAAGCATTATAAATCTAGCTGCTGACTAGGAGGAATGTTTCACTTTGAATTGTTAATATGTGATATAATTTGCTTGATGATGCGTAGGTTTCTAATTTGATCTCACCTAAGTTTATATAGGTTGGTACAAGTGTTACATACCCACACAAAAGCTATATTTAACTGGACTGTATGCTGTGTTTCCATTAAGTTAAAATATTTTTATCAAATGTCTCTGTGTAGAGGTAAAATCTGCAAATCGGTAACTTCACTGATTTGTTGTTTTCAATTCTTATCCTTATAGTTAAATTATGAATAAAATTATATAAATACTTAAATTTATCAAAAGTTTGAGAATCAGTTTGGACCCTACAGAATTATTGAAATAAGTAATGAACATCAAAGGTCCTAAGAAAACTGTTAGTTGGATTTTCTTAACTGAAAAAATACCCATTGATCATCATCCATTGCTTTTGACCTTCATATCAGTTTTCAAACCCCCTTTAAACTTATCCATCAATCTTGTATCAAGCTAACTTACCAGTTAACCTTTGCGTATTATTTTGTCAAGGACTTTCAGGAAATTAAGGTACATAACATATGGTGGTATGTGCCTTTATGTAAAGAAATCAGTCCTATTAAAAATCTAAGTATGGTAGAAAATCCTTTCGTAAAACAGCTTGGGCATTCATAACATATGGACCACAATGGGGACCATTTGGTTCTTGAAGGGCTGTCCCAGCAAATGAGTACAAAGGTCATAACTAGAAGAGGTAATTGTTTCCTTTACTTCTTTATTTACTGTTCTATGTTTAAGAAAAAATAAGCTTAAGAACGTATTTCTAAATAGTAATAATCTGTTTACATATGTAATATATAATAATTGAAAGGTGAATATTTTACAAAATACTAGTCCACTACAACACAACCAAGACAGGTCACTTTGTAAGGACTAAAGGTCAGTTATATATTATTTGATACAGTAACACTGTAACTTCTGTATTGTTAGCCAGGCAATGCTGGAAGGTCAGTATAATAAATATATATAAATCTATAATGTTATGAGATTTAAACTATTTAGACTAAACATTTGTGTTTTCATGTTAAAATTTGTAGTTATTCTATAACAAAGAAAAAAGTATAAATTTTGTATTGTTAGCCAGGCAATGCTGGAAGGTCAGTATAATAAATGTATAATGTTATGAGATTTAAGCTATTTAGACTAAACATTTGTGTTTTCATGTTAAAATTTGTAGTCATTCTATAACAAAAAAAAGTATAACTTCTATTTTTTTCAAAATTTTTTATTGAGGCTACAAAGTTGGTCAAATCAAACCAACTTGTACAGAAATACAGTAGTGAAAATAGCAAATAAAATATAAAGTTTTTCTTATTCAAATTTGATAATTATCTGAAGATTATAAGGATTGCGCATGTGAAATTTGAAAATGTTCTAATGCATTAAAGTATTTTTAGTCTTAAAATCAAAATTACTTTGCATGTTGGATAGTCAACATTCTTAAAGAAAAAGCTTATGAGAAAATTTTTAATTAAACAATCTTAAAACTTAATTTAAAAACCTGATATTTTTTTATGAAAACCTTGTAATGTTTACCAATAACCCACAAAATTTTGAAAAGATGTGCATACGTTATCAAAAATCATAATATAAATACTTTTGTGGTTACGAGCTGGGTGGATTCTACCCAACCTGTAATGGAAGGGTTAAACTGCTTCAAGCATTTCAAGATTTTGCTGCAGACTGAACAGAGTGAAATTGTTGAGATGTCAAAAATTGCTAATGAGATTTCTTTTGATCAATGACTCAACACTGACTCAGCAGAACCAACTGGTAAAGAGTTGGCAGATGAGGATATCATTGCAATTGTGTCTCATCAAAAATGTGGGGATACTATGTCAGCTGATCAGTGACTCAACATTGAGTCAGCAGAACCAACTGGTGAAGAGTTGGCAGATGAGGATATCATTGCAATTGTGTCTCATCAAAAATGTGGTGATACTATGTCAGCTGATCAGTGGTTCAACACTGACTCAGCAGAACCAACTGGTCAAGAGTTGCCAGATGAGGATAACACTTCTATCATTTCTTTACAAAAGTGTGATACTGACCCACCAGTTTATCAAGACAGTCTGAATAAAGCGCAGTCAGGGCTTAAAGTGATTTATGTGAAGATTATGATGATGTAATTTGTTATTTGCTTAAAGTGCCAAGAAGCTTCAAAAGAAAATATGTCAAAGTCAGTTCAAAAGCTGACTGGGATTACATCCTTTTTTTGGAAAGTAATTTTTTACCATTTTACCAGTACTATTTATTTCATATTCTCTAAGTTATTGGTTTGAACGAAATCATGTTTTATGCGAAGATAATGAAATGCTACTTTAAATGTGCAACTTATTTAATTATTGACGATGTATGAAATGATAAACTGATAAGTTTATTGCATCTACAGTTGTTTTTTGTCTACCAGTTACATGCCAACTCTTACATTTATCCATTGAAAATGCATGTTATTAATAGTGCCTGCCATATTCAAAGAGACTGATTTGACTATTCATGTCTTGATAATCCAAGTGAACTAGTTTATTATAAATGTGTTTGGATTAATGAGGTTTAACTGCATAAAACTCTGTTTACCCTCTCCAGATGGGTCATGGGTCAAAGGCCATGTCATTTCGTTTGTTGACTCATATTCAAAATTTTATTGAACTACTATTTTATGAGTTTATTCAATAAGTTTGGTATCAAACTGTAGATTATAATTCATATTTTATTATTATACATTATTTAATCTTAATTGAAAAGTAAATATTAAAAAAACACAGTTAAACATTAATTTTTATGTGTCGTGTGGTATGTTGAATGCAGCACTGGTTCAAATTAGATGTTTGTGAAGTCAAAATACTAAGTCTGTAGTTTCATACCAATTAGAAACTCAGATTACCAATATTAACAAGCTAGAATATAAAATAAGAACATCAATACGGTCTTCCAAAAGTCCAGAGGCTTGGTCATCATATCACTTGCCCATTTCTTTTGTCTGACTATGTTGGCAGGTCTTAAAAAGGGCCTCTGTCTAGCTGCTCTGCAATGATAACCCAATCTGTGGA